AAGCGGACTATAAGGCTAAAAATAAGGGAAGGACAAAGCGGGACAGAAGGAAGGATACAGGGGCCTCGGGACTGACGGAGTCAGAGCAGCGCGGCAGACCTGCGTGAAGCCTGGTGGGACTGACGGAGTCAGCGCAGCGCGGCAGACCTGCGTGAAGCCTGGTGGGACTGACGGAGTCAGAGCAGCGCGGCAGACCTGCGTGAAGCCTGGTGGGACTGACGGAGTCAGAGCAGCGCGGCAGACCTGCGTGAAGCCTGTTGGGGCAGCACTGACAGGAAGCAGCCCGTGTCGGGTCAGAGCCGGGTTCAGTGATCCCACCCGCAAGGCACCGACCTCCAGATTAACAGAATCCTACCCCCCAGCTGGTGGCTGCGGCATGTAATCGCGCAGCAAACAGAGGCGTGATGAACCCATCCCGTACGGCCAGGAGCGCTGCAAGGGACACGTTGTACTCCAACAGCTCCCGATTAAAACGGAGGCGTCTGGGGGCCTGAAAGAGCAGCTCCCCCCGCACCACAAACCATCTGCAGGTACGAGCAGATGTGGCCTGATTCAGGCTGAAGACCTCATCAGGTTTCAGATTAATCCCAGCGTGACCCGAGCAGAGAAAACACCCAGAAAAACCCAGTGATGCAGCAGGGTGACTGAACGCAGCCATGCAAGTGTTCAGGCTGTACGTATAGGGGCCAGGAATTGAGAATGAGAATGTGGAAGGGGGCAGGCAGACCGAGACACGCTGGAAACGGAGGGACACAGACACGGGGGGGGGGAGAGAACACAAGAGCAGTGATCACAAGGAAGACGACGACAGTGAAGCAGTAGCCTAGGACCACGGAGAGTGGCTGAGAGTCACAGAGTGTCGCAGAGCAGCTCAGACAGCTGATAATCCTACAGGTAATTCCAGCAAAGTCCAACAAAAGCTCTTTAATGCAGGGATGTGAAATTCAATTCCCTTAATGGGATCCCAACCGCGTGGTTAAGAGGGGGGGGTAGCCTGGCATGGCGTAAATCTCAGCGGTGGGTGGGGGCTTATCGACAGGCTGCTTCGAGCGAGGGTGGACTTCGTTCCATCGAGCTGCGTTTCACAGTCCAGGTGTTTATCAGCCACACAAATTAAATTATAGGATGGGGGGTGGGGAGGCTATCCTGCTGTCAGCAGGGGGCGGGGGGGCACAGGACACTCCGGATGGCAGCGGATGCAGCAAAGCCGAGCCAGTATAACACGACTAAATAAGCCAGCTGGACCCTCCGGAGGATATAGCCACATTTCAGGCCTGATTAACCGCCCCATACTACTAGAAAAACCCCCACAATAAACAAAATGAAATAAAGGAAAACAAATCAAAGTGTTGGGCTTCGAATTATTGACTGCAGACCAAACTCGGCTAAAGCGAACTTAAGTGGTCACAAAGCCCCAGTCTTATTGGCTAGACCCTCGACCAGCATTATGCAGGGGTGGGGGCAAGGTGTGCTGCCCAAAAGCATTCTAATCCTGGTGATTTCCAGGAGAGGGAGCAGAGCTCACAGTAAACCAACTCACGGTGTGTGGGCTCCCCCTGTCCCACAATGCAATGCAAATCCCCCGGCTGCCCGCCATATCATTCACCCACTTACTAGGCGACAGCCAGAGGGCACCATGTCACCAGGAGAAGCTTGTTAGGGTTTACGCTTCAATCGTCACATTTTGTTTCGATGTTTAAAGTGCACTAAATTTCATCATTACGGAAAAAAAAACAATTTAAGAAAAATAAGTCATACAAGAAACCATAGTGCCATCTGGTGGCCTTATGCTGTAAGTGTTTACAGAACATGGGGACACAGGAGGGATTATGGTACAGCTAGACGGCGATGGTTGGGATGCAGGTGGACATTGAGGATCCCTTTGTGTAGTCAGCAGGAGACGGCCTGGACACGTCTGTGGGGACACTAAGGCGTCACTTCCTGCTCCACAAGGCCTAATGACCACACAATGGCTAATTAACACAATATCACACCTCAATTAGCGCTGGGCGCTACCACCGAAAATTTGGATCGCCGTGTTTTCTAAGATTCGGGCCGCTTTCACATTACATCATGGTATTTTTGGTGGAAATACGCCTATACATCAATAAACCAACGTGTTTTATTTAGTATTATTTATATTTAGCTTAGTAACAACGTTTGCTTAACTGGCATGATATTATTACCATGATAAATCTATAGCATTAGGGATTTTGTTTTACAGATATGCATTTAATTTCAGAACTAATTATATTACATGCAATCCAAATGTTCAGGCACAGACTGAAGCAGTGGCCCTAAATACTGCAATGCAGTTACATACGGAGACTACTTCTGTTATAAAGTTGTAAGCTGTTAATAATAAGGGCAAACCCAGAGGGTAAACGCACAGCTAACAGGGGGCCCTTCGTAATACACTCCGCACAGCCATCCTCAGCCTTTCTAGCAGACAATATCATTATACATATAATTTGCTGCCTATTGAAGCGTTACAGTTGCGGTATGGCAGTGTATAAAATCAAACCAGACGAGAAATTAAAACTGGTATCTACCGGATGAAGCGGTTTACCAGCCAGCGCTGATGGAGAGGCCCCATGTCAGACAAAGTATGTCCAGAGGATTCCGACGCAATACGGATTGTCACGAGTCTCCATCACCGTGAAGGGTAACTTCTGCACAGAGGCGTGTGTGTGGCTGTACGTGGGACCCTGAGGCATCCTCCCGATGTGGAAAACATGCCACTTAAGTGAATCAGAAGTACTTAGACACAGAGTGAGTGAAGTGAGGTCAGTGAGCACCTTGCAAAGGGCTGGTGCCCCCTTCAGGTTTGGTTCCTGCCTCACGCCAATTGCAATTTATATAATATATTATATATATAAATGGTCACTCAATCATCAAACTAATTAACAGATTATTAATAAAATTGCACAGTGACAGCCCTAGTTGCAAGGCTGTACTGACAGCTGGCCAGACCGCAGCACATTCCGAACACGGATTGAGACCGCAGCACATTCCGAACACGGATTGAGACCGCAGCGCTTGGGATTCTACGGCAACTGGGGGACTCACTCGGGCTCCTCTGGGACAATGGGAGAGGTGAGGTTGACCGATTCCATGGTGATCTCCACCTTACGGACGCTCCCGAAGAAGTCTGTGATGAGCACGCTGCCGGGGTCCCTCTGGAAGAGGTCTGTGCGGTGGCCGGGTGTGGAAACGCACTGGCTCTTGGGACACACCTTGAACTGAGGGTGACAGGGGGGACAGCGTTCAGCCAGCAGTGAGGGACTCTGACAGGGGTCCAGTTTACGGTAATACAGTCACTGTACTGTAGGAGAAACACCAAGGGATACGAGCGCCAGACCTGCTTTAAGACCCTTGATCAGCACGTGATTGATGACTGAGGCACTCTGACAGACCTCACTGCGATGGCTCTGTATCGGTCTGGTTTGAATGCTGCTCCCGGGCCCGTCAGCGCCCCCCACAGGGGCCGGCGCACACTGCAGTGATCAGGCTCACCTCCGACACAGCTTATATGAGTGAAGTGGGCTGCAGTTTTGCTGGAAACACTTAACTGCGTTGTAGGTGAGGTAGAAAACAAGTGGCATGCTGACCTCTGGCATGAAGGCGCATGAGCCCCACAGTGCTGCACACACTAATGCTAATCGGATGTCCTACATGATGACTAAAGCTGGCCTGGGGGTGAGGGGGCATCACTGTATCCACGTGTATCACCCCCCCAGTCACATGACCCGTGCTACTACCTGCCTGAAGCATTTCTGACAAGCAGCCCCATCAGACCGGATTCCAGCAGCAAGCCAGCCTGTGAGAGCGACCGATCCGGTAAAAACACAACTTGAAGGATCAATAGGTGTGGAGATGGGAGGGGTGAAGCGAGATCAGACAGGGGGCTCTGACCAGCTCCAGTGCTCTCCACAAGGCCCACGCAGAATATCAACTTTCGAGACTGTTCCAAGAATTCATTTAATATACAGGAAGGAAACATGCCATCCTTGGGGAGTTAGATGGGAAAAGCAGAACGAAGGGGGGGGGGCGGGGTTAGGTTTCATGGGTAACCTTTACGTCAGCTAATCAAACCCAGATGGGAGGACGCTGCAACCAATCAGTCCTCTAATTAGTCAACTACTTAGGGAGCAGCAGTGAAAACCCACATAGACAGCGGCCCTTTCTGGATCAGCGTCGCCACTGACTCACCAGGTCTTTCATGTTGGCCTGGCTGGCAGGGTGGATGTCCTCCAGGAACTCCAGCAGGTAGAAGGTGTACCGGTCCATGAGGTGCACGCCGATAGCCAGGTCCGGTTGGTGCTGGGGCCCGAGCGGAGGCACGTTAGGTCACACGTATGACCCCCCCCCCACCAGACACACACACATGCACATGCACAGACAGACAGACAGACACACAGGCAGACAGAGAGACTGGCAGAGAGACAGGCATGTGCATGTATGTACTGGGAGTGTATAACGGTAAACAAAAATCAGGGTTCGGTACTTTCAGTACGGGGGGGTAATTGATACAAAACAAATTGCAGAGACAGACACACACACACACACACGCAAAGACATGCTGACACGCGTGACTCACGGAAAGGGAGTCCTCGCCCACTTGGCTGCTGGCCAGAGCCAGGAGGTTGGGCGAGTAGAACCTCTCATACATGGAGGCCCCCTGGCACGTGTCGATGATGAAGAGGACCTCGTTGTACCTGCAAAGAGACGGGCCGCCCCGTTACAGACCTGCCACATGCACCCCCCCCCCAGCCACAGTTTCAGGAATCCATCAGGGTGTTTCTGTTATAACAGCAGGTGCTTGGGAAAGGAGCCCAGCTAAAGATGGCGGCCATGGGACCATCCCACAACACGAGGAGGTGTTTCTGCAGACGAGGTCTCTGAAATAGTGCGACGATGAAGCGCTATTGGGACAGCAAGGGCATCAGCAGCCAGTTCACAAGGAGACTATCAGCCAGCGGCGTTTAATCAGACAAACATATCCCAGGAGCCTCTGTCTGCTCCAATAAGGGCGCGGCAGGAGGCTCCAGGTCAGCACCCAGTAACAAACCCGCTAATGAGAAGGACAGGTGGATATCAGGGTTTTCCTCAGAATGCCGAGTAATTAAAGGCTAAAACAGCTCACGTTTGGGGGGCGGCGGGCTGAGGATTGGGGTTTAGTCTGGGTGTCCAGCGAGCCCTAGACGGGTCGCCCACAGGGCCCCACCCAACCCTGCCCACAGGGCCCCACCCAATCTCCACCACTCGCCTTCTCTTCTGCCACATCTGCTCAAAGGCATCCGCCAGCTCCACGTTGCTGATCTCCTCCGAGTCCTGGAACTTCAGGAAGCCATTTCCCCCGTGACCTGAGAGACAGCAAGACGCAAAGGAGAACAAGGCCGACACTGAGTGGAAGTCCCGAGGGGGAAGGGCAGTAATGAGAGGCACCCATAGGGGCTGAAAGCGTACCCGTCAGGTAAATGAGGACATTACTGCGGTCATCAGACAACAAGCGTTTGGACCGCGGGGTGCTGGGCGGCAGCCGGCCCGTCAGAACACGGAGAAAATTCTCCACTGTAACCTGTGAAATGAAGAGAGGGCAAAGCGTCACACAAAATAACACCACTCAAGAGGAAGCAACAGCCCCCAAGTATACTCTGCGGGAGAACATGCACAAACGCACACTGGCACACACACGCACAGACGTACGCAGATGTGCACAGACAGACACAAAGACAGGCACAGAGTCAGAACTGGCACACACACGCACAGACGTACGCAGATGTGCACAGACAGACACAAAGACAGGCACAGAGTCAGAGACAGACAGGCACAGAGTCAGAGACAGACAGGCACAGAGTCAGAGACAGACAGGCACAGACAGACACACAAAGTCACAGAATCACAGAGACCGATAGTGACAGACAGAGAGAGACACAGACAGACAGAAACAGTCACAGACACAGGCAGAGAGGAACCCTGTCTCTCACACCAAAGCCCTTTAGTTCATAAACTCCCAGACTAAGGCCAGACGGGTGCTTCGTCAATGCAAACCCTGCCTACATCCCAGCATGGACCTCAGACTGGCCCCGGATGTGTGTGGGGGGTAGGGGGGGGTTGAGCATCGACGTGACCCCCACAGCCCATCTCACCTCGTAGCCACGGTAATCCACCTCCACGTCATCCCCGTACACATTGAGCTCCATGTTCTTGTGGCTGAAGACGGTGGCTGGCTTGGGGTTTCTATGGTTGCAGGCCATGTCGTCAGCCAGCATGAGCACTATGTGGCTGTAAGGGGACACGGCGTCAGGTTGGAGAGCTGCAGGGCACGTCGCCACAGAGCTGCAGGGCACGTCGCCGCACAGCTTCAGGGCACGTCGCCGCACAGCTGCAGGGCACGTCGCCGCACAGCTGCAGGGCACGTCGCCACAGAGCTGAAGGGCACGTCGCCACAGTGACTTTCACATACCACTAAAAGGTAAAACGATTAACAGACTAACTTTTTAGGACAACCAATTCAACCTACCAACACTTTATAGACAGATGAAGTGATATACTGAAGTGGTGGGTTTTTAATCACAAGAACTTATTAAAGAGCAGAAAAGTCAGAGCACCATCATAGCATGTGAGAGCAGGAGGGAAAACGAACATATCCTTCAAGTGCTTTGATTTCACCCTAATTAACAAGAATAAAGTGTTTTGTGACACAGATACCACACAGTTCTTAGATGCAATCCAGGCCAGCCCAGACTGAACTCCAGCAAAAGCTCAAGTACATTCCGATTGTTTCAGTAATTCGAAATCAACGGAATCTATTAATCAACAATAACAGTGAATAACAGTGAGTGACTGATGATGCGAGCCAGGGGAACATGCAGCTCTGCTTCTGTGTAAACATGATTAAGGGCTGTGATGTTTATCAGCAACATCAAGAGGTCAGCTCACACCACAGCAAGTCAAAGGGAATCATTAGCCATTAATGTTAACACAAGGCTAGGTACTGGGTTTTATAAGAACATTTTGACATGATGCAAAACGCAAAAGGCAGCAAAGAATTCAGAGCAGGTGTTCATCTCCCTCAACACTCTGCTCCAGTGGCCTGCCGTAA